GTCCCACAACCTCCGGTTCGTAATCGTTCAGGTAGAACTCCTTGCCGGTAAACGAACATCTTCTGACGTTGTGATCCAGATGCTGGATCGCGCAAATTCGTTCGTCGGCCGCGCAGACGTGGACCCGAAGAGACTTTTCGCATACGAAGTGGGTACCGTCCTGCAGCGGTTCCGCGAATCCGCACGCATTCGGCACGCATTCGTGAAGTTCGTCGACGTGGTAGATGTTGTACCGTTTTGCTGTCACGTACGCGTTGAGCGCTGCCGCAGCCATCTTCATAATTTTTTCCTCTAAATTCCTCTTTTTTATATGTTTCAGGCTTCCAGAGGAACCGGCTGCGACCTCGGATGGATGGACGAATACCCTTGGATGAAGCAAGCGGCGATGATATCAACCTCGCCCGTGTTTCAACCGAAGAACGTGTCGGTTCTGCTCACGTCGTCGATGACCTCCAGCGAGCACTGGTCCCAGGAACTGGTGACGATCAAACACGAGGGACGACCTCTCGTAAAGTACATCACGCAATCGTACCTGTGCGACGCCTGCTTCGAGAGAGGCGTCCGCAAGGTGTGTCCCCACCGGAGGCACCTGGTGCCGGAACACATAGACGGTAGCGAGGGCAACGTGGTGCAGCAGATGATGAATCTGATTGCGAGCGGAAGCTACGAGCTGGAATGCATGGGCATTTCCGTCTGCTCGCCTTCTTCGCTCGCCGAACGTCTTTTCTCCGGAAGGTTGCTCTCCCGGCTGTTCGACGAAGAACGGAGGTCCGGCAGGAGATCCGGATTCGCATCCGGTCTGCTGATCGCCGTAGATCCCACGCCGTCGGACGTGTCCGGCATAGGTCTGGTCGCGGGGGCGATGACGTCCGACGGCAATCTCAGACAGGTGAGTCTCACGGGCGGTATCTTGCAAGCCCTGCTTCTCTTCTCCGTTATCCTTCTCAGCGCGTACGTCGCGTGGTTTCGCGGACCTCGGCAGATCGCGGTGCCCCGATCGCGTTCGACACCCGCGTCTGAAGGACGGACACGGCCACGGCCATCGGCGAACCTCCGATCGAGTTCCACAGCGGCTGATCGTAGCTGTTGGTAAGCAGCTGGTTCGCGAGGTTCTTCGCGCTATCTATTATCCAGTGT